TATATATATATATATATATATATATATATATATATATATATATATATGGGGTGTCCATAACTTTATCTTGACATGGCAATCCAATTGTCAAAAGAAAAGAAATCTTTCATACATCTAGATGCAGCCAAACACTAAATTGGAAGGTGATACCTAGGTTATTTTTTTCAAGTTATCATGCTCACAACATGCACAGATGGACGGAGGGTATTTCGAATTTCCGCTCTTTGCTCCACGACTGAGAACAAAAAACAGATAAAAAAATGACCTCATGGATTTAAAGGATCCACAAGATGCCAAAGTGAGCTCAAGTGTGCTAGACTAAATTAATGCAACCAAACCACATCTTTGTCCAAACATCCTCATATAAAACTGCAGTGTTTTTGCACGTGATGCAAGAATTTTTTTTGATTACCTGAAAGGCATCCAACATACCTGGAAAAAAGAACAACTACCAGTAGTAGCTTTGAAAAATGTTCACCAATCTAAATTTTTGGACCGTCTCACCAATAACAAAAACAACCACACTTTCATCTAAAAAGGGTAACTATAGCAACAAGGGGACATTCAGAGCCTTTACTTCACTGTAATATTTAGCAAGTTAACGTCAACAAAGTCACCACTGTTAACCTCGCATCAGCCTTCTGATCATTTCATATGAAACGACTTTTTTTTAGCACAATCTGCTAAATGTAGATTGCTCACTCTAAGGAATTTTAGAGTTACTCTGGCAGTCGTTTTGACTTCCTTTAGCAACTTTAGACAACAGTCAGCACACAGGATGCTGTTTGTTTCTAAAACTGGTGATACTGTATTTTGAGACTACAAATGAGTTGTCACGTCGTCATTGCAATTACAGTGTGCACTCTCAGGCCATCATTACCTGCAGCATCTCCTCAGTGCAGACTGAATTTGGCAAAAGGGCTTTCTCTTACTTTGCCCTTGTAACCTGGAACACCTTACAAAAAGATTTTAAGTTGTCGACTTTGACCTTTCTAAACCATATTTGACTTGTCTGCAAAATGCAAGCGTTACTCACTACACTTTCTCAAGTCATTTGGTCCAGCCTAAACCAAACAGAAATAATCAGTTTGAAGAGTTTCATTCAGGGTTTAGAGCTCACCACAGCACTGAATCTGCACTGGTGAAAGTTACCAATGATATTCTCATGGCCTCTGACAATAGACTTGTGTCTATACTGGTCCTGTTAGACCTCAGTGCTGCATTTGATACAGTTGATCACAATATTTTACTACAGAGGCTTGAATATGATATTGGAATTACAGGAATGGCTTTAAATTGGTTTTAAATCATATCTATCTTATAGATTCCAATTTGTAAATGTAAATAATGAATTTTCATCATACACCAAAGTTAGTCAAGGAGTTCTTCAGGGTTCAGTGCTTGGACCAATACTCTTTACTTTATATGCTTCCATTAGGTAATGTTATTAAGAAGATGGGATACATTTCCATTGTTATGCTGATGATACACAGTTATATTTGTCCATAAAACCCAATGAATCCAATCAGTTACTTAGACTACAAGCATGTCTTAAAGACATAAAAACCTGGATGACCCTTATTTTTCTCCTTTTGAACACAGACAAGACTGAGGTTTTAGCATTTGGACCTGAGCATCTCAGGAATACATTTTTCAGTCTTCCGTCCTCCTTGGATGGCATTAATCTGTCCTCCAGCTCTAATGTTTAAAATCTTGGTGTTATTTTTGATCAGGACATGTCTTTTATCCCCCACATTAAAAACAATACTAGAACTGCCTTCTTCCACCTGCGTAATATCACTAAAATTAGAAACATCTTATCTAAAAATTACGCAGAAAAACTGGATCATGCATGTTTCACGTCTCAACTGGACTATTGCAATGGTTTATCTGGGTTTTCAAATACTTCTTTAAAAAAAATCCTCAGTTAATCCCAAATGCTGCTGCCAGAGTCTTAAATGGAGTTAGTAGGAGAGATCATATCTCTCCAGTTTCTCTCCATTGGCTCCCTGTCAAATCCAGAATTGAATTCAAAATCTTACTTATAACCTACAGAGCTCTCAACAGCCTAGCTCCATCTTATTGAGCATGCATCAGGATACTAGCTCCATCTTATATTCGAGATCTTACTGTTCCATATTTATCCAACAGAGCACTTCACTCTCAGACTGCAGGCTTACTTGTGGTTCCTAGAGTTTCCAAAAGCAGAATGGGAGGAAGCTCTTTCAGTCATCAGGCTCCTCTCTTGTAGAACCAACTTCCAGTTTCTGTTCGTGAAACTGACACATTGTCCAGTTTTAAAACTGGGCTTAAGACTTTCCTTTTTGATAAATCCTATAATGAGGGTTGGCTTGTTCTGCTGCCTTAAGCTTAGACTACTAGAGGACAAACTGACCTCATTTCCTTGAATGAATTGTTAAAATAGAATAGTTTTCATTTGATACTATTTCAATCTTAACATGTGATTCTTGACCTGCCATTGTGTATCTGTTCCTACCAAACTCAGCAGATGGCCACTTGTCCTGAGCCTGGTTCTGCTAAAGGTTCCTTCGTCAGGAGGGAGTTTTTCCTTTCCACTGTCGCCTTCATGCTTGCTCAAGATGAGAGTTCTGCGATGGAGTTAAATTCAAAGCAGTCTGCTCCTCAGATAAATAGTGTTAAATTATTTTTATATATGAATGTTTCTGTTCAGTGCCCTGAGACAACTTCTGTTGTGACTTGGCGTTATATAAATAAACTGAATTGAATTGAAATGAATACCTAAGTGACGACCCTTTCTTGTATTATCTGAGTATTTTTAGTTTATGTACTTGTACTATTTATTATGTATATATGTTCAGTATATGCTTTATTTTTTACTAAATAAACTCATTCAATCAATCAATCGCTAGTTTGTAATAATAACTGGGTGCTCAACTGGTGCTCAAATAAATTCACTCGTTTTGTTTGCAGGGAGAGGCACAATCAGCTTGGGGTAAGTTACTAGTCAAATCCTCAAAGTGGTACCAAGTAAAGTAAACCAGGCTGAGTAAAGACTTGTGTTCAAATTTTGATTGAAGACTGCATTAAAACGTAGATTAACAGCTTTCACTTTTCCTTTCTTGCATGCAACAATGAAAATACTTTTTGAAGAGTCCATAATCCTTTGGCAGCTCGCTCTGCTATTTGCTGCGAATTTTCAGTTTCTGTTTCGGCCTGTTGATTCTGGACCCAGCTTCTGTTTCTCATGGGAGCATCCATCCATCCATCCATCCATCTTCCCCTCAGCCTGACTCAAACTGCAGTTGGGCCACCTCGTCGGGTTTGTTTGCCCATTTGAACTGTGACATTTTATGGTCTGAATCTTTTCTGCATCATTCATATTACTGTCACTATTTTCAGTTCTCAGATTATCTGGAGTCACTGAATCTTGTTAATACACCTGAATCTGTCCATCACTGCAACTTTCACTGTTTTTGGGTTCTGAATGATCGCGTCTTCATTAATGTTTCTCATGGTTCGATTATGGGGGCTAATTGTCACACTGTTAACTCCTGTAATTACACATCAGTCACAAAAAACTCAAGAAAATGTCTGATAATAATGTTGTTATTGCTCTCAGGAATTCAACCTAATCCTGGACCCCCCACTAATTACAGCACACCAAATGACTTTAAAAACGCCTCTGGGCTTCATTTTCTGCATGTAAACGCTCGTAGCCTTCTGAAAAAACTTGATGCTGTGAAAATCCTGGTCAGTTCTTCTGGGGCAGATGTTATCTTTATTTCTGAGTCCTGGCTCAACAAATCTGTAATGAATAATGACGTGGCAATCAATGGGTTTAACATCTACCGCTGTGATCGTCAAAAAAGGGGGGGTGGAGTCATTATTTACATTAGAGACACTCTGGTTTCAAGTCTTGTGACTTTCAAAACAATTCCAAACCAGTTTGAAGCCTTATCTGTAAACATCACCTTGAATGGAGGCCAGGTTTTAACTGTAGTCTGCTGCTACCGCCCCCCCACAGCTTCACCTGAAGCATTAAATGCCATGAAGGAATTCCTTGGTAATTTAAAATTCAAAGAGATCTTTTTAGCTGGAGATCTCAATATTGATTGGTGTAAGTCGACCCCCCTCTGTGACAAATTCAAGGAATGTTGCTTGTCTTTTAATTTAACCCAACTGATCGACTCCCCCACCAGATTAAATAAAAGCCATCCTGACAATTCCTCCATCTTAGACCTGTTTCTAACTAATATGCCTCACAAATTCCCTGGTACAGGTGTATTCGCTGATCTTTTGAGTGATCATTGTGTGACAGCGGCTTTAAGAAATAGTAAACTTCCACCTTCTAAGCCCAGATTAATTAAAAAAAGGGATCTGAAACATTTCTGTGAACAGTCATTCCTCTGGGATCTGTCTCACTTTGACTGGCATCGTATTCTGTTAACTGATGACGTGAACTCTGCTTGGAACTATTTCCATAATAATTTCATTTATTTCCTGAACTTACATGCTCCTTTTCGTCAGTTCAGAATAAAGGGACGAGACAGCCCCTGGTTTACTCCAGAGCTAGCTGACCTCCTGCACAGGAGAGATCATCTTTGGGCCGCAGCGAGAAAATCTGGCTCAGACACTGATTGGTTGAGTTTTCGACAGATGAGGAATAAATGTACAACTGCTGTCAAAGCAGCAAAACGAAACTATTTCTTATCTCAGACCTCCAAAAATCTAAATGACCCTAACAGATTCTGGAAAACAATTAAATCTCTCTCAGGCACCCCCCAATCATCTGACCTCCCATCACAACTTCTCGTTAACTCTGCTCCTGTGTCAAATAAGCACGAGATCCTGAACTGTCTCAACAAACATTTTGTTGCTTCTGGTTCTTTATTTGACACAGTAACTAATGGAAAATCAGCCACTTCACTTAATAACCAAACTTCTACAAATCAAATCCCTCCTACAAGTCAATCCTCAGTTAATCACAGCTTCTCTTTTTCTCCATTCTCAGTCAGTGAGGTTAATAAACTGTTAAAAGATCTTGATCCTAAAAAATCTGCAGGTCCAGATGAACTTCCACCTTATTTCTTAAGGCTGGCTGCTCATATCATCACAGTCCCTGTGACCCACATCTTCAATCTCTCCATAAGACAAAACTCCATCCCAGACACTTGGAAAACAGCCTTTGTTCTTCCTTTGCTGAAGGGAGGAGACCCCACCTCACTGAACAACTATCGACCAATCTCTAAACTCTGCATTTTAGCCAAGGTTCTAGAAAAACTGATAAACTCTCAAATCAAAAATTACCTGGACTCATTTAACATCTTACCTCCACATCAATCTGGTTTCAGGAAACAACACAGCACAACCACTGCTTCACTGAAGGTTCTTAATGACGTTGTTGAAGCACTGGATGCTAAGGATTATTGTGCTGCACTTTTCTTAGACCTGTCTAAAGCTTTTGACACTGTGGATCATAACATCTTGTGTCATAAACTCTCAGAAATCGGTTTCTCAGATCACACCATTGGTTGGTTCTCTAACTATCTTTCAGACCGGAGGCAATGTGTTCAACATAATGGTACTTCCTCCAGTTATTTAACAGTCAACAATGGTGTACCACAAGGCTCAGTCTTAGGACCCACCCTCTTTACAATCTACATACATAATGTAGGTAAAAACATCCCTAATGCATCCATACATTTCTATGCTGATGACACAGTTGTTTATTGTCGAGCTAAAACAGTTGCTAAGGCTTTCCAGCTTCTGAAATCTGCATTTAACATCATCCAGACTGATTTGTTTCACCTCAAACTTGTCCTAAATGCCGAAAAAACCAAAGGGATGCTTTTTTCAAATAGGAAGTTGGTCCCAGCAGTTCTTCCTCCGATTTTATCCTCAAATGGTGTCCCCATTGAGTTTGTTGATTCCTATAAATATTTGGGTATCTTGGTCGACTCACATCTTTCTTTTAAGCTCCATGTGGAAAACTTGGTAAAGAAACTGAAAGTTAAACTGGGTTTCTTTTTCAGAAACAGATCCTGTCTAACCCTGAATGCTAGAAAACGCCTTGTATCTGTGACTTTCCTTCCCTCAATTGATTTTGGTGATATTATTTACATGAACGCTCCTACAAGAACCCTGCAGATGTTGGATGCTGTCTATCATGGTGCACTAAGATTCATAACTGGCTGTGATTATCGTACCCACCACTGCACCCTGTATTCACTGGTTAACTGGACTTCATTAACTTCACGCAGACTCTCTCACTGGTACATTTTCATCTTTAAATCACTTCTTGGTCTGCTGCCTTCATACATCTCCTCCTACATGTCTCTGCGTGAGTGCAGCTACGGAGTGCGCTCTCAGGACATTATTACCTGCAGTGTTCCCTCAGTGAGGACTGAACTAGGCAAAAGGGCCTTCTACTCCGCTCCTGTTTCCTGGAATATCTTACAAAAAGATTTGAAGCTCTCGACCTTGACCTCTCTAAGTGGCTTTAAGAATCTGTTGGACTCCTGGCAGGGACCAATGCAGACATGTTCCTGTTTTTAGTTTTATACATTTGTCTCGGAATCTAGCAGTTTTTTTGGTTTTGTTACCTTTTTCCTTTTAGCCATCCTATTTGTTAAAAAAAACAAACAAAAAAAAAAAAACTGTAGTATGAGTTTTTATAACTGCTTATTGTTGTTGCTGTTGTCCATTGTTGTCATCTTTCTTTGTTGAAATCAGGTCTCTCTTGTAAATGAGTCCTCGAGGCTCAATGGGATTTACCTGTATAAATAAAGGTTGATTGATAATCAGGAGTTAATAGACTGTCCTGCACATCTAAAGGTTGTGAGGCTGTCCATTAATTATTAATAATGAGCACCTCATTGGATGTCACTCCTTACATAACAAGAACAAACCATATTTTTATGGTTCGTGGGTGCAATCAGTGGCCATAACGTTGATGTACTCCACCAATCAAATTGGCTTGTACAAATCGAACTTTCAACAGTTAGAACACTCAGCCTTGTGTTATATGTCTGCAATAAGTTGTGTCTTACTGTCAAACTAACAAGGTTGAGGGTATCACTAAACATAAATGTCACATTACTATGTTTTATGTGAAATACTAGACACCAGAACAAAAAAAGGTCTTCTTGTTTCTTAGCCTCTTTTGACAATGTCTATTATAACAGATCCAGAGCTGTAGCTTGAGAACATCATGGATATAATCTGCTGCAACAAAAGAAAGAATCACCTGCAGCAACAGACGCCCTTGAAGAAAACACGATCATGGGGGAAGAATACGATTTAAAAGGCACACAAGAGAGAGAACTGCAACAAAACAGACAGCTGCAAGAAAAATGTGCATGTTCTCGAGCATCCATCTCACCAGAGCAAACTCCTTGTTGAGGACCATCTGCTCCAGCAGTGAGGACTCGTTGTGGAAGAGGTGAGGCTGCATGTGGCTCCACATGTGGGGGAACCACCAGAATTCATCTACATACTTCAGTAGTAGATCATCTCCTTCATCCTCCTCCGCCATGCCTACATACATGTGAAAATGCACACACACACACACACACAAATCCACAAGGACAGAAAGGACAAAAAAATGAACCGTGCATAAAAACAAAACAATACAAGGAAGCTTTGCAGGTAAATTCTTGCTGATGCAAGGTTAGAGAGCATCATCGAAATGCATTTCTTTAAGGTTACGCTGCTATAAATAGGTGGTCTGAAGCCTAAATAAAGAAATAAAGAGGCTATAAAATGTCTGTGTCAGATTAAAGAAGGGACAGCAGCACTGACTTTCACCTGTTTATTTCTGTTCTTGTGGATCTGATAGCTGTCTCACTGCAGTTTTAGATGATTAAGTAAAAAAAAAAAAACTGTATCAAATCTGATCTTGGTGTCACAGCATAGGCGAGATTATACCACAACATGTCATAAAAACAACGTGTACAGTAATATTAGCTCCTTTACTAGGAGGGGAAAAATATGAGTGCCACATAACTCTAAATTGTCTCTAGGTGTGAGTGAGAGAGTGAATGATTGTTTGTCTCATTTGCTTCTATGTGTCCCTGTGATGGACTGGAGACCTGTCCAGGGTGTCACCTACCTCTCACACAGTGATAGCTGGATATGGGCACCAATGACCCCTATGACCCGAAAAGGAAGAAGCAGGTAAAGATAACGTATGTACGTACGTATGTATGTATGTATGTATGTATGTATGTATGTATGTATGTATGTATGTATGTATGTATGTATGTATGTATGTATGTATGTATGTATAAATGCATGTATGGATGGATGTATGTATGTACAGATGTATGGATGCATGTATGTATGTATGTATGTATGTATGTATTTATGGATGTATGTATGTATTTATGGATGTATGTATGGATGAAGAGTACCATACATGGTACATTAAACGCTCATCAAAAATCATTATACGTCAATCTATAGCAATGGCTTGGACAAGCAAAGACCTTGTATAACCGTTGACCTTGATTCATGACCTTGACCTCAGAGCTTGGGTGATGAAAAGTGTATGAAACACTCTGTTTAGTGATGATGCATAAGTGTATAAAGTTTTGTTAAATTATCTCAAGTGGATCAGAAGTTATGGGCAGGACCAGAGAAAGTTTACAGACGTACAGAGACTACAACAACACATCCTGCCTTCGTCGGGCGAACAAAAACCAAACTAAAGCCCTAAGATTTCATGGAGAAATGCAAAACACCAGTTTCATTTATTGCCTCTGTTATATTGAGGTCTGTCATGATATAGTTGTGCGCCGACTATGTGTTGTGGATGACTATCAGTTGATAGCGCATCAAGTTTGAGTTCACCCGTGTCTCCTTACCCATCCCCAGGTGCTTGTGATCATTCCCTTGTTAGTGTCCCTATATTCTTCATCCTCTACGTCAGCCCTTCTGTTTATTTAAATAAATAATATTTTACTTTATTCCTGAGTTCTCCGAGTCCTGTCTGCATTTGGGTTCAAACAAGATGCAGATCATGATAATTAAAAGCAAAAAAAGAGCCAGTTATAATCAAGTTGACAACCAACTTTCTAATACCACTAAGCACTGCTCCTCATGGTTAGGGTTAGCTTAAAGAACTTTCTGCAGCTCTAGTTTTGCATCAGTGAAGTTTTCTGTTTGGAATCCCCTTCTTTCATAAATGTTTCTGAAACCTTTTGCCTCTGGACCGGAGTCGGTCTTATGGTTGTTTTCTTCACTGTGTGGCAGAAAGAGTTGTTACTCAGAAAGGCAACATAATAGACACACGATATTTACATGGAAACATGCATTTCTAACTTTTGGTTCCAAAAGTTTTGACTTGCAGGAATCTATCTTAAATATTCTTTATTGTTCAGAAAAAATGTCAAGTTTCAGCTGAATATGTTTGTACAATTGATCACACAACTTTTCCAGATTTTTGCTGAGTACTGTTCTGTCATCAAGCCTTTCAGTCAGAGGTTTTGTTTTTTGCAACTTAGTAATTCTTACTTCATGCTTGATCTCTGAGAACAAAATGAAACCCCTCAAACTTTACTAGTCTTAAAATTGACAGTGATTAGTTGAAAACCCCAATCCTGAATAAAAGTAGTGCAACAAACGCTCATGACAACTAGCCTTTTATAAACCGGACTTGTCTTGCACAGATATACAGTCACAAACAGAACACACCTGTGTGATAGAACTTTCCAGAGAATCCCAAATTGAAGGTGAAGTTAGAGATGTACGAACGCAGCTGGTGCTGGGTTTCAAGGAGAGCCTGGTGATGGACGGACCGGTGGAGAAAGAAGGAACAGAAACACAGAAAACAAAGTGTTACATTTAGACAGAAACCCATTCAGTCCTTTGAACGGCACAATCACACACCAGTATATGAAGTCCTTCTCTCCCCTGCCTGTACTTGCACAGATAAAACCACGTATGATTTAGATCTTATGTCTCTCCGTTGTATATTTAGGTGAACTCTGGCTCCTTCGAGAACCATCACCATGGCTGTGTGTTCTCATCAACGCTTACCCTTATGGCTCGGCTATGGCAGCTGCCACCGGCATGCTGCTGCTGCAGCCGGCGTCTTTAGTTTGGTTTGTGATTCACTTCTCTACGCCCACAAACTCCCATTCTGTCCTTTTTCCTCACTTATTTAATGACTTCATTAGTTTTCTGGCCTTTAAACAAAGACTCCGTAATGAGTGTTAACTAAAGAGAGGGGCAGACGACGCGCACACACAACGACAGTAATGCAAGTTAATGAAGGTCATTGCATTAGTAGCCTCTGGAGGGTGGACTAATAACCACCCCACCCACACGTGCACGCACACACACACACACACACACAGACACACAAACCACCTATTTTCATCATTTCCACTATCCCTCTCTAACATCACCAACTGAAGCCAAAAGCCTCTTCATCCTTTTCCCTTCTCACTCTTGTCCTCCCGTTTCTCTCTGAGAACCTGCAGTCGCCTCCTTATTGCCACCCCCCCCCCCCCACCCCCCCTCTCCCCCCCCCCCCCCCCCCCTCCATTTGTCTTCCACACCTCCCACCCTCCTCTGAACCTCCATCTCTCCCTCGCTTGCTCCGTGAAAATGTCACATTCTCAGGAGACAGGGCTGTACTAATTTGAAAGGAAGGCTGAAGCAGCATGGAAGAAGGATCGCCCCCCTCCCTCCCCACCTCACGCACACACTCCGCATCCCCCTCTCCATCTATGACTCTATACCCTTGCACGTCTTTTCACCACGGCTGCACTTCTCGCTGTGCAGATGTTTTGTTTAGGAATAAAAACGCCAACCTTCCTTTATTTCTGATTTTATTCTACGGTTCAGTCAGCTGGGCCTTTCTGCTGTGCTACAAGCCACACCCCAACTACAAATCTTTGTCGTGCTGCTTTTAATCGATCCCCGAGAAGCTTTCCTGATTTATGATACCTGAGCAGCTGGAGTCAGAGCAGAGAGCTGCTTCCAGGCGCTCACACTCTCCCTCTCATCCACCAGCTCTCCTCCTGAGTGCAATTCCTCCCCAAACTAACAAATACACAGACACAAGAAGGGAGCGTCTTCATTAGCTTTAATTTAATGGTGCTGAAGATGGCCGCACCGGTGACAGATGTGCACAATTCCCTAATCTGATCCCCTGTCTACCCCCCTATGACATCCTCTACATCTTCCAGACGTGCGTGCGTGGAGCCCAACGTGAGGATACCCAGACTTAAGAATTAAATTAAGTTTGTAGCCAAGTGCTTTGCATTGTAACTTAATCTACACTCCCCGATGCACTCGGTCAAAATGCATTATTAACGTGTCTGTTGGCAAATGTGAGAATGGGTGTAGGTGTGTGCCCAAGCGTGCAATATATTAGTTTAAATATCTCATTTGTATTCTGCTGCCTAACATCCATGATGGGAAAAAAGCTGCTAAAGCGCAAAGGAAGTGTTTGGAGCAGCAAACATCAAGAATGGCTGCTTTTGCATGTTTTAACATTTTTTTCCCGTTAAATTCTGCGTCAGCCCTGTTTCTAACTTTAAGGGTGATCATGTTGTGCAACGATGGCACTGTGAGCAGAAAACTAGTGCTAAAGCTCCTCGTTTGAGAGCGAGCGCACAATGAGGGAAATATTAAAGCAGGCTACAAGAAGCTGAACGTGGATGTGTTTTTAGAAGGATCACCGAGAACTTGGTGAATTTGATTCATCAAAAACAGCAGCTAACTTTCGAATCAGTCACATCAAAGGAGAGGCATTCCCCTTTCCACAAACGCTGCGCAGATTCTGAAACTTTCTCAGGCAACAAATTGCTCACAGATCAGTTCTTTCAACCACAAATCAGCTCTCGTGCGGTTATCAAAGCATTTAACGCTACATGTCACAGAAATCTCCTCTCACTGTCGTACGGCTCGGGGGCATCGAGTGTGAGGTGTCAAACCACAAGTTTATCTGCCTCAAACAGCCACATAACCATAACTCCAGCTGTAATCACAGTGCAATGATAACAAATGATCACAAAGTAAAGCATGCAAAAATGAGGACATGCTGGGCTGTCAGTCAGAGTGTGATTCCTTTAGCGGCGTCACGTTTGGTGAGCAGTGAGGATTGAAAGGATTTATTCTACGATGCACTACAAGGACAGAGGAGCTCTTTCTCTAACAGACTGAGTCAATTACTCCGTCACAAAGAACACTTCAGATCATCATTTCACTCTCGTGTAACAGGTGACCACTCTACTGCAATTCACATCTATACATACTCTAAACTAAGCAAAAACTTTTCTTACCATCTAAATTTTTCCACATCTTACAACTAAAATTAACTGTACAGGACTACAGCTCTGGAGGTTTTGTTTTTCTGTCTTTTATTATCTTTCAAGGTGGTTTTGATCAGTGTTTGTTGGGGTTTTCTGAACATCTTCAGTGTTTTTCTTTAGACTTTGACTGTTTTTCTTTGACCATTTCCAGAGGAATGTTTATCATGTTTGTTAAGCCACCTAACTTTGACTTATGAATCATTCCCACTTAACAATCCTCCTAAACCGAATAGATGAACAAGTGTTGTATCAACACATGACATGACATGACAGCTGAGTATAAAATACTAGATTTAAATGAATTCTTGAGTCACTTTTGCCCCTTTTCCATAGTACATTTTAGTACCGGTACAGCACGGTTCGACTTGGCTCATTACGGTACACATTGTTTCCATTATGCTTTCGGTACCAGTTCCAGTGGGCGGGGTTCAAATTAACGTCACATGCCTCACCAGTTGGTGGTGATAAAGCTTGGGGTACGACCCTGAAACAGGTTTCAGTAAAGGGTGAGAATTTATTTTGAAGTTTCTGGTAAATTAAAAATAATACAGATTATTAAAATGATCAAAT